CACCCAGATTCCACCCCCTACCGGGGCGTGGCACCCCGAGACCCACCCAGACCCTCTCCCCTCACCGCCCACTCCTCACCTTCGTAGATGCCCAGACGCCCATCGCCGCCGCACAGCTGGCCCGGGTGGCCGAAGCAAATCTGGTCGCAGTCGGTAGCTGGGGCCGGGCGTCCCCGGTCCAGGTCGCTCTCAGAGCCACAGAAGCAGGCGTAGCCAGCCTCCACGCCCGCCAGCTGGGGGCACAGACTGGGGGTGACCCAAGAGGCAGGGGTTGGGGTAGGGGTGGGTTCTAGGGTCAGGGTCATAAGTGGGAATCGGGCAGAGACTCCAAAATCAGCGTCAGGGTTTGACGTCAGAGTGGGAGTTGATTTGGGTCCTGAGGTCTAGGTCAGGGGTCGCTGTTCTGAGCCGGAGGGGGGAGGGGGCAGTACCTGGTAGCCCTTCATGCGGCAGAAGCGAAGGCACACCTGGACCGTGAGCTTCGTTGAGGTCCCGCTGGGGCCGCTGAGGGCCGGGGGTGCCCCCGAATCCACGAAGCAGCCCAGGTACCCGGGCACTGAGGGGGCAGCAGAGTCCGGCTTTGTCCGGTGCCTCCAAAAGAGAACTCTACCCAGGCAGCCCAGCCTTCCCACCCTTGTCCAGCCCGGCCCACTCACTGTGACACGTGGGGATGTCGCAGTAGCGCCAATAGATGCCCTCCTCTGTCTCGGCTACGTAGCACCACGGCTGCACGTCACCGTCGGGGTTCCTGCCGGTGGGGGAGAAGTCGTCTGGATCCACCCCAAGGGCTGCAAGCCCCAGGCCCCACCCCACAGCCTTTCCGCAGAATGGCCACCGTGTGTGTTAGATCTGGTTTGTGTGTTCCTCTCCGTTGTCACTGTCACACAGATTCTGGTTTGTCCCACCTGTTTGTGGCTGTCGACTCCGGAGGGGATGGTGGGAAGTCCTTAAGGGGCACCTGGGTGGGGTGGCTCAGTCGGTTAAGGGACCGATCTTTGGTTTCAGCTCAGGTCATGATACAGTTTTTGAGTCCGAACCCCAAGTGGGGCTCTGTGCTCATAGCGTGCAGCCTGCTTAGGATTCTGGCTCCCTCTCGCTCTTCCCTTCCCCTGCTCGCTCTCTCTCTCTCAAACAAATAAATTAACTCAGAAACTATTTTTTTAAAGGAGGGGCGCTGAGGGCATATTTTGGGCTTCAGATGTTGCTAAGACGTGACCTTATACATGAGGACTTTGAAGCCACCTGCAGTGTTCGTCCCCAACCCTGCCTTGGGCCTCGGCCACCTCCCTTGGCTTGCAACCCTGCTTTAAAGCAAAAGTGGTGAGCCCTGAGCTTTGTGGTGTCCTCTCGCTCCGCTGGGTCCCTGCAGCTCCAGACAGCAGTTGTGGCTCTGAGGCCGCCCCCCCCCCCCC